CCAACCAGGGAGGGCACAGTAGTCAGGGCTGTTTAAGGGTGCACCAAGCAGCTTGAGCTGTGGAGAAAGGGGCTGGCCAGGCCACCATGTGCTTTTTTCTCTTTCCTAGAACCTGAGTGACCAACTCCCGCCTCTACCAAGGAAGCCCAGGGCAGGGGTGATGGCAGCCTTACTCCAGCCCCAGGTGAGCGTCTGTCCTACGAGTTGTCACACAGGTTGCTTTCCTCAGCAACCACTGTCAGGTGTCTCTGGTCTGGGGTGCTGACATCAAAGGAGAGGTGACCCTTGGACCTGCCTGCAGCCACACCTTGGGACACATTAGCAGGAAAGGGTAGTGACACTCCCTATCTGCTGGGCTTGAAACACTTCTGCTGCCTTCTGTCTCCCGGCATCAACTCTGGGCCATTCTTGGGGCTGAGTGGTGTCTTCTCATTCCAGGCCGAGGTGACTTTTGAGGATGTGGCTGTGCTCCTCTCCTGGGAGGAGTGGGCCCACCTGGGCCCTGCTCAGAGGGGCCTCTACAGGGATGTGATGCTGGAGAACTACAGGAACTTGATCTCAGTGGGTAAGGCCCCTCGCTGGGACTCAGTCCTGGGAACAGCCCTGGGGACTGAGAGCTCATCAGGGGCTTGCCTGGGGCCCCAACCTGGGGCCCGGAGGTGGACAACATCGACACTGGTCCCAGGCAGGCCTGTTCGGGGAAGTGGAGGACATGGGTGGTGCAGGGACCCTCTGAGCTCCCGGAGGAAGCGGACCTGTGCTGCAGGCCTGGTGCACACTGCTCTCCAGCAGGAACTCACACCTTCAGTGGAGACAGCCCTGAGCTCTTGCTCCCTGTGCTAGTACCTCCATCTTCATGACCATCCTAGCCCATTCACAGCCTCCTCCAGAGGGCATCCTGGTTCCCATCAGCCCCTGCCTGTGCTTCCCTTCCCCACAGCCCCAGGTGAGACATCACTGGGTGCAGCCACACACCAAGGTCCTTGGAACCAACCTCAGGCCTGTCTCTCCCAGGCG